GGTAAGAGAATGGATACCTGACCCTCTAGGAATAGAGGGTATTTATAGCCCCCAGCGCGGGGCCAAGGTCCCTTTGTTGGGCCGACCAGGATTGGCCCAATAAAGGAACTGCCAGGTTCTACGTGTGTAGTGGGGACCCTCACGTGGTCCTCTTCCTGGTGATGCTCAGCGAGAAGTACGGATGGATGAGGACGCGGTCTTTCCGGAGATCAGGTGATGGAGTAACGATCATAGCCTGCCCTACGAGGAGGGTGCCCGAGCTGGACTCGAGCTGGATTGTATGTGGTCGAGGACGTCGTGCCTGCGGGCAGCGGCGGGCACGGCTATAGCTTTTGGCCGACGCGCTCCTCGTAGAACTGTTTGGATTGGGCCTTGTCCTTGTTCTTGGGCCAACCTGGGCCCAGTCCAGAACAGAAAACATCTCTCTTTTTATTAAAATAATTAGAACATATTTTTGTGCCTAGCCTAGTTGGCTAAGAACTTAAAAAGCTCTTTATGAAGGCGTTTTTCACTGTATAATTGATTAATCCTTAGGCATAATCGATTATTCCTTTTTGTAATGCCTAATAATCAACTATTAGGATTGATAGTCGATTAGAAACAACACTTTTGAAAACCTTCCATTTTTGGACTTAATAATCGTTATGTGGTTAGCCTAATCAATTATCATCATTAAAAAGGCTCATGGATCTTTTTCCTTTTAAAGCCAAATTTTATCCTATAAATAGAGGACTCCTTTTTCACTCCTACCACACCATAAATTGTATTTGAAATACGTTTCTCTCACTCTCCTCTTCTCTCTTTATTTTCTCACATTTTCCTTAGTGTTTTTTGAGAGTGATATCTTTATATTGTGAGGTGTTTAAGCCTGGCGTAAAAGAAATATTATAAATTCTCACTGAGAGAAATTTTGTTTTGCTTGTGAGCTAAACCAAGTGAAAATTTCATGTTTGATTATCGATGTAAACTAGCTAATTAAACCCCTGTTTGGTTAGGGATGTTTTAGTATTTAAAACTCCCAGTCGGTTCGTAAGGTTAGCTTGCTGTCAAAAGCTCTCAGTTGCACTCAATTTCTCTAGATGAAACAAATGTTGAAGGAGTACAATGTCGAACATGATGTCATGACATTATTCTGTGATAACTTGAGTGCTATTAATATTTCAAATAATCATGTCTAACATACTAGAACCAAGCACATTAGCATTCATCACCATTTCATCATGGAACATATGGAAGATAAAATTGTAAATCTTGTGCATATAGCAATTGAAAAAAAGTTAGTCGAGGGGTGCTCAATTTGACTATTAGGCATTTGAAAAACTAAGGGGTGATCTTGGTATTTTCATATGTGAGAATTTGTAGCAATCAATGCATGAGAGGCGTGCAAAAATAGAAAGACCATTTCTCTCTCTTAAGAACATTGTTGCACATGAAATAAATTTGATTATTCCCATTTCACATTATCTTTGTAATTGGTCCTTGGGTATAAATAAGAATAATTTTCATCACTCTCTCTATTGGTCTTAGAAACCTTTTAGTTCTCATTTCTCTTAAGATCTTCCATTTTCTTCTAATATGAGTCAAAAATCTGAAGAAACTAAGACATATACTTGGAAGTCTAGGGTACCTGAGTCGGATAAGACTCACATGAGGAAAAATGAAATAAAGGTTGGACCACATGCTGCAACATCTAGTGAATCATCTGTTAAAACATTTATGACTGAGAAAAAACATGTGACAAAGATGAAGTCCTTGAAGAGCAAGCCTTTTAGAACAAGTGATTTTGACTCAGGTGTTGATGAAGACTAAGTCAATTTTCTATCATCAGGTGGAAGATTTGGGCTATGAAGATGGAGGTTTTGTTTGTTTTCAATTATTTCAGTTTGATTATGTTCTTTTTGGCCCTTGCATATGGGCATGTTATTTTCTTTCATTTGTTGGTTCTGTAATGGTTCTATAACTTTGTGTGACTGTAGCTACCTTTGTGTTTCTGCACTACGACAATCCAGATTTGGTATTTCTCTAGTATTCAGTTATGTTGATGCTTTTTGGTGTTTCTATGGTTTTCTTTATTCATGCATTTTCCAAATTGGGCAAAAAGGGGAGTGATATGTGATATGATTATGATTTTGCACATGGTACATGTTTTTAGTTTGTAAATGAGTCTGTCTTGATCTGTTTTGGTAGTGTTGCATGATCTCTGATTTGGTACTATGTGCTCATAATTAATAGTTGTGTGCTCACATGCTGGAACATCTGGCGTAGCATCTGGGCTTCAACTTTGTGAGCATGTTTGTATGTGAGCATGTGTGTAAATTTTGATGTTGATGTTTGTTGCTGTTGTAGTATGCTCTGATATGTGTGTATTCTCCTGATTGAGAATTTTTTTATTTAGTCCTGCGCATCTTGTGGAAAGGTTATAAGTTTTTTTAGTCAAAATTTGCCAAAACGAAGATTGTTGTTCCTTTTGTTTGTCTGCAGTGGGTAAAACAACATAGTACGAGGTGTATTTTTGTAAAGATATAACATGTGGGATAAGATATTCCAACATGTGTGAAGCATATGTCCTCATTATAGAAGACACTTTTAGTGAGTAAATCTGAGCGCATTTTTGATCGATTCAAGAAAATTTGTCATTTATTTTTGTATCTTTTAGCAATTTAAAGTTAAGAAAGATTGGATAAAGGATTTTCCATGACCATATTAAATCTAATAAGTTTTAAATTGATTTAAAATCATATCTTATTAGACAAACAAATCAGCATCAAGTTAAATCTGTTGGAGACCCTGCAGATGAAGCATTATATATAGAGACACATTCCTAACAAGGAAATCACACAAGTATTAAAGATCTATTGTGCTAGGGTTTTGTTCTTGAGTCTTTGTATTCTTATTTTTTATTGTAAACCTCTAAAGTAGTCTAACCTGAATATTCAAGGCATGGAGGTTGATTGTTAGTTGAGTTGTAATTCAACATACTTATTATGTTGAAAGCATACGATTACTAGGATAGTGATTGTGAGAAAGTGAGAGGGGTTCTCATATTTATGAGGAGCCCTAAATAGAAAGACACGGGTAGTATTAGGAAGTAGACATTGAACAAGGGTTGTCATTTAAGACTAATTATACTATTACTATTGAGAGTGAATTTCTTTTCTTAATTTAGAAGTTCCCTCGAATATAAGTGACGTTGTACCGAATTAGATTAACAATTCTCTTGTGTTCATTATTATTTTATGATTTATCATTTTGTCTTTTTTTATCTATCAATTTCAATTTAAGATATTGAACATGTTATCTTATACCTCGTATCTAACATCTATACCGTAAAGAATATAATTTTTTATTAGAGATTAATATTAACACCTCAAAGTTATAAGTCCTAACCAAACAATTTTCCCAAAAGATTCCATAGTGTCCCATGGCGAATAAATCTAACTAGATTAGACTATCATATAAAAAGTTGAGGAATAGATATCTCATTAAAATGTCACACTGATTGTTGGGTTTTTTACTAGAAGGATTTGATGGTATTTTCTATCACAAATTTTGATAGAATCTCATCCACTTAATATTTATAGAACATGGATACAAAACTTTCACATGATACACCATTTGATGAAATCATGCATTTCTGCATAAATATACTATTTGTCTTATATTGGGATATAGACAATTGTGGCATACAAAAACACAAGCAACCAAAGTGTTTGTTTATTTGTCATCATCAAATATGTAACTAAATCACTTCAAAAACTTCATTATATAAAGTTTAAGAATTCCTCCCCTTTATATATATTAAGCCTCTCTAGTATATCTTCTTTTCTTCACATAAAGTTCAGTCACTTTATACCAACATGTAGAAAACTGTGACATTAAAGAGAATCATGACAGAGAGAAAGAAAGATCAAATAATTATAACAAAATGAATTTTGATAATAAACAATAATATTGAAAGGAACGTATAACTAAAAGAGGCTTAGTTTGCATTTTATATTTTCTGTTTTTGGCCATTTCCCAGTACTGATCATAATCAAGTTCTTGCAGATATAATTATGAAATATATATTTAGAGAAAAACCTATTCTCTCAAAACTCAAGAAACTGTATATAATTCAAAAATGTGTCACATATTTAGAAATTGTACCATACAAAACCACAATATGTAGTCTTCTTTGCTCATCAAACTCAAGCATATATCATCAATTCCACCACTGCTTCAAAAGTACAATTCTAAAAGCTCTACTTTCTGATACAACTTTAGAATATTTGGAAAAAACCCTAATATTGAGACCCATATGAGATTCATATACTAAGTTCATAGTGACAAATACATTTTTACCCTTCACTTTTTAAATTCTAGTACAACAATATCTTAGTAGCTATAGAAAAATAATATATTCATGTAGGGGCCATGTCTGATTTTCTCCATCAAAAGAAGAACCTATTGAACTCCCAAATCACACTAGCATCATTCTTCTATTACCATTCATTCCTTCATTCATTCAGTAACATCTACTTTTTTCTTTCCTTTCAATATATCATATCATTTCATACAATACAAACATTACATTACATACATACCCTTTTTCTCAAATTTAATAATTTAATTAAACAGTTTATTATATATTTTATAATATAGTATAGTATATCTGATAAATGATAAATGACAATACCTTTTGATCGAAGTAAATTCCTGGTCACTTTCTAAGCTCTCTTTTGTCCCTTCCCTTTTTATGAACACCTCTCTGTCAACTTCAGTCCTTCTCTCCCAGATATCTTTTCTGATTTTCTCTCTTTATCACTCCATGTACCATGTGCATGCCCTCTCTATCATTATATATTATATATATGCTACTATATAATTATAACCTACACCAACACATTTCATGCAGTAGTAATAGTAAGTATTAGTAGTAGTACTCACGACTCACTCACCTACCCTCTTTTCTTTTGTTTTTTTGTCTTTGTTTTGTTCTTGTTTTCAGTCCAACAAACAAGATGGAACAACCTCAACAACAGCAACAACAAAATGATCAGGAAAATGGTGGAGGTGGCAGTAGCGGAAAAGGAAGTGGGTTCAGACAAAGTAGTACAAGGTGGACACCAACAACAGACCAGATAAGAATATTGAAGGATCTTTACTACAACAATGGAATAAGATCACCAAGTGCTGAACAGATTCAGAGGATCTCTGCTAGGTTAAGACAGTACGGTAAGATTGAAGGAAAAAATGTGTTTTATTGGTTTCAAAATCATAAGGCTAGAGAAAGACAGAAGAAAAGATTCACTTCTGATGTTAATGTTCTTCCCATCATTCAAAGAGCACCTAACAATATTTCTATTGCTTCTGCTAATTGGAAACCTGATCATGAACAACAACAACAATCCATTCTTCACACCAACCATTCCAATTACAACATTTCATCTTCTGGTATAGTTCCAAAAAATAAGAAACAAATTCATTGAATACTATTATACATATATAAATTATATATACTTATATTCATTTTTCTGTTGGTGTGTGTGTTTGTATTATAGGGCTTTCTTCTGCTTCATGTTCTTCTGCTGAGATGGTTGCTATAGGTTATGGATCTGTGCCTATGGAGAAGAGTTTTAGGGTAAGTTTTATTTATATATATTCTTCTAGCTATGTTTTTTTCCATTTTTTTTCATTGTTCAATATTCATGCAGCTTTGCTATGCATCCATGTGAGATTTGATATAAAGAGAAAACACAAGCAAGTGATCATAGATTCATAGTCATGATCTCTTATTTGATAACCAAAAGCAGCAAAAATCCATAAAACTTCCATAATAGGAATTAAGAACCTCATAATCTAAGCATAATAAAATAAAACTCTAATTTATGAAGTGAAAGTAACACTTGTAATAAAGTCACCAACAAGATTTCACTTTCACTAGTTACTACTTTTACAGATTATTAAAACTCTACTCTTAGGTACATATATAGCTTTAGATATGTCACATATATCTTTTTCTTCTGCAAAATCTTGAACCATTTAACTTTTTTTTTTTTTTACTCTTAGGAGTGTTGTACAATATCAGCTGGATGTAGCAGTAGCCAAGTTGGAAGCACCATGAACAACCACTTAGGATGGATTGGTCATCATCATGTTGATCCATATTCTTCACCTTATGCTAATATATTTGAAAAAATAAGAGCAAATGATGAAATCATGGAAGAGGAACAAAAACAAGAATATGAAAATGGTTCACCTGAGATTGAAACTCTTCCTTTATTTCCTATGCATGGTGAAGACATTCATGGTGGATACTGTAACCTCAAGTCAAATTCATCTAACTATGGTGCTGGCCATGGTTGGTATCAAGGTGAAGGTCATGGTTTCATGAATGGTTCTCGTACTACTTCCTTGGAACTTAGCCTCAACTCTTACACTCGTAGATCACCAGATTATGCTAATTGAATATGCTTTGTTTGAAGATTTGAAGATTTGAAGATTAAGCTTAATTTGCTTATTAATAATATATGCTACTATATATATAATGAGTTTATTAGGGTTAATTAATGAATGTGAAAAATTAATGTAGTTAGTTTATTTCTGTTTTTAGTTAAGAGAAGTTCCTAGCTTGACACGTGTCGAGTTGGTAACTTAATTGGAATGATACTGACTAATTATTAGTATTATTAATAATTATTGTTGTGTTATTTTGTTGTCTACAAACATTCTTTTCAGTATTAATTTGCTCTAATTCAAATGATTGTGTTTAGAAAAAGATACAATAAAACTTAAAAAGTGATGATGATGGAATGTTAGTATAAAAGATTAACCACAAACTCACTCAAGTAGTTGTTGTGGTAATCATATTTGGCTTGTAACTAGTGCAATGAGATACATAAAAGAACAGTACTCCATCGTTTTCTATGAATCAGTGACGCATTAATGACATATTTTTAAGACTATATGATGTTGTTCTTCTTAGTGAACAAATCATACCATATTTAAATAATGTTTATTTTTTATTTGAGATCGATAAAGTTGTTAAAACAACATAAAACATTGAACGTAGTAACAATGGTGAAAAGAAACTCGATAAAGATGAAATGAGAGAGAGAGAGTGAGAATTGGGGTAGAGAGTAATATTGGTGAATCAAAAGTGGCATTAACATTGAATTGGGATTACAATAATGTATATATACACACGAGAGAATAGTACAACTAGTAACCAAAACCAACTAAAGTGCCATGCTGTTCAATTCTGTTATTTTCCAATAACAGATTTTTAACAGCTCACAACACACCACCTCACTTTAGTTGCTCCAAGTTCATCATGCTCAAGCTCTTCAACAGTCTCTTAAACACTTCATTTGTCACACCCTTGGTCAACAAATCCGCAACTTGGTCCTCGCTTCGGCAATAGCTCAATCTAAGCTTTCCATCACCAACCAATTCTCTCAAGTAATGAAACCGCATCTCAATATGCTTGCTTCTTCCGTGTGCAATCGGATTCTTCGCAAGATTTATCGCGGAAACATTATCCACAAACAGTGTGGTGGCATCATCATCACCACATCCCAATTCCTTCATAAAATTCACTAACCACATAGCTTGGCAAGCACTCAATGATGCCGCAATGTACTCGGTCTCACAAGAAGAGAGTGCTACAACCGGTTCCTTCTTCGAACACCATGAGATTGGTGTACTACCGAACATAAAGATGTAACCCGCCGTAGATTTCTGATCATCTTTATCTCCGCACCAATTAGAATCGGTGTAGCCAAATAAAGTACATTTGCGACCCATATCTGATGTGGGAAACAAAATACCACAACCAAGAGTACCTTTCACATATCTAAGGATTCTCTTGACCGCTGCCAAGTGAGACACCTTAGGTCTCTCCATGAATCTACTCGCAATACCGACACTAAAAGCCAAATCCGGTCGAGTATTGCACAAGTACCGTAACGACCCAATCAAACTCCGGTAAAGTGTTGGATCCACATCATCCTCATCATCACTTTTGGACAGCTGTACTCTAGCCTCACAGGGTGTAATAGAAGCATTACAATGCTCCATCTCACACTTTTTCAAGATATCTAGAGCATACCTCCTTTGATGCATAAGCAGCCCCACTTTTGACTTGTGAAACCCTACGCCAAGAAAGTAACTCATGACACCAAGGTCTGTCATCTCAAACTCACTCATGAGCTCCACTTTGAACCTTGAAATACTCTTGTTATTGCTGCCCGTAATCAAGAGATCATCAACATACAAGCAAAGTATAATAACACCACCAATAGTATTTGATCTCACATAGACACCATGTTCGGATACACACCGTTTGAAACCGATGTCAATAAGAAAGCCGTCTATACGTTTGTTCCAAGCTCTCGGAGCTTGTTTCAAACCATACAACGCCTTGTGTAGCTTGTAGTACTTCCTCTCTTGATTTTTGATCACGAAACCGGGTGGCTGCCCCACATAAACCTCCTCATCAAGAGGACCATTCAAAAACGCAAATTTCACATCCATTTGGTAAATCACCCAATTGTTACTATGCGCAATTCCAACAACCAAACGAATAGTCTCCAATCTAGCCACTGGTGCGAATACCTCCTCGTAGTCTATGCCTTCACGTTGCAAGAACCCTTTCGCCACTAATCGAGCTTTGTGCTTGATTACTTCACCTTTAGGATTTGCTTTAACTTTATAGACCCATCGCACACCTATCGGTTTCTTTCCAAGTGGTAAATCGACCAACTCCCAAGTACCATTTTTCTCAATAGATTCCAGCTCCTCTTTCATTGCACATATCCATTTAGGATCACTTAAGGCTTCCTCCTCATTTACCGGTTCAGATTCGGCCATAAGCGCGAAATGAACAAAATCACCATCATTATTCACTTCGTTATCTTGGAACCTTTCGCAATCTCGGAGTCTATGAGGCAAGGCTCTTTGCCTCACTGGTCTACCATTATTCACAACATCATTTTCTGCTACTATAGGTGCAGGTACAGCGGCATCGGAATTCTCCGGATCAAACAAATCAACAAACTGCTGCTGTTCAGCAGGATGTAATCGATTAGCAACAAACTGCTGCTGCTGTTCACCTACTGTTTCAGCAGTTTTTATTTCATCAAACTGCACATCCCGGGTTATCACGATTTTCCGATTCCTCTCATCAAATAGCTTGTAACCTCCTGTAGAGTGATATCCAACAAATATCAATTTCTCACCTTTATCATCCAATTTCTTTCTAAGTTGATTCGGTACATGACGATATGCAATCGATCCAAAAATGCGCAAATGATTCACACTCGGTTTGAAACCACTCCAAACCTCTTCTGGTGTAATTTTCTCCAGCTTCTTAGTAGGACACCTATTCAACAAGTAGGTGGCTGTAGACACGGCCTCACCCCACAATTCTTTAGGCAACTTCTTCCCACAAAGCATATTACGCACCATGTTCATTATTGTACGATTTTTCCTCTCGGCTGCTCCGTTTTGTTGAGGCGTATATGGAGGCACCACCTCACGCACAATACCCTCAAGATCACAAAACTTCCCAAACTCACTAGAGGTATATTCACCTCCACCATCCGTTTTGAGAATTTTGAGCTTCCGACCGCTTTGACGCTCCACCATGGATTTGAAACTCTTGAACACTCCAAACACCTCATCCTTTCTCTTGATAAGATATGCCCAAAGCTTCCTACTAAAATCGTCAATGAACGTAACAAAATATCGATTGCCGCCATAAGTCTCTACTTGCATCGGTCCACAAACATCGGAATACACCACCTCAAGTAAGCCTTTGGTTCTTCGACCCGCATCCTTGCTAAACACATTCTTGTGTTGCTTACTCTTCACACATTCCTCACATAATTCTGTCGGAACACTAATATGTGGCAGCCCCATTACGATTTCACTTTGTTGCAACATTTTAAGATCCCTAAAGTTTAGGTGACCAAGACGGTAATGCCATAACCACTCATCTCTACTTGCCGCGGTAGCTAAACAACGATGTTCCATAACCTTTAACTCAACCTTAAAAGTTCTATTGGCAGCCATCGGCGCTTTTAGAATCAACACACCGTTTGAATCTAAAACGCGTAACATCTTGTTCTCCAACCGAATTAAGTACCCTCTTTCAAGTAATTGGCCAATGCTTAAAAGATTGAACTTAATTCCCGGTATGTACAAGACATCTTTGATCCTAGAGTGTCCACCATTCTTTCTTCCGATCAAAACATCTCCTACCCCTTCGGCTCTTAAAGTGGTGTCGTCGGCAAACTTGACTTTACTCTTTGCCGCTTGATTGATTTGCACAAACCAATCCTTTCGACCCGTCATATGTGTTGAACAACCGGAATCCAAGTACCACTCATCTTTACTTTGAACTTCATCACGCATAGTAAGTAATGCATTTCGATCCGAATGCATTTTTCCACCACTTTCCGAAACTGTACATCTGCTGTCCAGCAGACTATCACCACAGTAGCTGCTGTCCGGAACATCAACAATGCCATAATTCTCTTCCGTAATCATCACAAGAAGGGTATCTTCATCATCTACCTCTTCCCTAGCAACCTTAGCCTCATCCGCATCCTTTTCCTTGCGTTTTGAGCGACATTCTTTCGCAAAATGTCCAAGCTTTTGACAATTATAACACTTCACAGAACTTTTGTCAAACGGTTTGTGGGCGCTTTGATTACCATCTTTGGAGATTCCTTCACCCTTTGAATTTTGTGGATATTTTCCACCAAAATTCTTCTTATTTTTAGAAGTCCACTTCCCTTTCAATCTATTGTTCTTCTCATGTAAACGCGCTTGCAAAGCGATCTCCGCTTTGGCTTTGTCGGCACTTCTCTCATCCATCCTTTGTTCATGCGCCTCTAACGAACTTTGCAACTCATCTTTGCTCAAAGTTGTTAGATCCTTTGACTCCTCAATAGCCACAACAATGTTATCGAAACGTGATGTTAACGAACGCAACACTTTCGATACAACATTCTGCTCAAGGATCGTTTCACCACATGACTTGATTTGGTTGACTAACCGGGTAATGCGTGTTATGTAATTGTTGATCGTTTCTTTGTCCTCCATTTGCGTTAACTCGAATTGACGTTTGTAAGTTTGTAACCTTACCACCTTCGCTTTGACGGCACCGGCATATGCTTTCTCCAAGATTTCCCATGCTTGCTTCGCGGATTCACAATCACCAACCTTCTCGAAATTGTCGTTATCAACACAAGAGTGAATAAAGAATAGGGCTTTGTAATCCTTTTTCTTTTCTTCCTTGTGTGTATCCCTACGAGCATCGGTAGCATCTGCCCCTAACGGTGTAACTCCATTGATGACGATCTCAAGCACCTCTTGATAACCAAACAAAACCTTCATTTGTTTCGCCCATTTGTCGTAGTTCTTCGAATCAAGAATTGGGAGATTGGTGGGAATTCGATCAT